ATTAAGAATCAACAATTAGGAACTTAATAGAGTTAGACAGTAGACTTACCTGAAACAGGGTCCAACTTTTCGATTCTACATTTTCTTAGATCTTTCAGGTAGTCAGGGCAGCTTCGCAACCAATGCCCCTTCTCTTGGCAATAGAAACATATAGACCCTTTGGGAATGGTGCACTGGACAATCTCAGACTTAGCCTTTCTCTTTCCCTTGGAAAGAGAAATCTTTTTTGGACTTCCAATGTTTCCATTGTCAATGTCCATGGAAGTTTGGGGAGTAGATCTTTCAATCAAATTTGCTTTTCCAGTGCGCCAAATCATTGCTGATTCAGCAACAACAAGCAAATAGGTAAGATCAATAAGGGTCATGTCGTGGTCTGTCACATAGTAGTCCTTAATGAACTCACCATATGACTTGGGAAGTGACTGAAGAACCCAGTCAATAGGCAACTTCCTCGAGACTTCAACACCCAATACTCTCAGCCTGTCAATATGTGACTTCATCTCCAAGACGTGAGTACACACAAGCCTTCCATCTTGATGTTTCATTGCAAGTAGGGCTTGAGTGACCTTGAATTTTTCAAGTCTTTGAACTTGTGGGTTAGGGAGAATTGTTGGAGGAGGTGGAGGAAGTGAAGTATGACTTCCACGATCCAACCGCGGGACATCAACTTCAAGAGGAAAGCTTGTTCCAAAGGATTTGGGAAGACTATAGTTGTCTGAACTAGACATCTACAATGGGAGAAATTCAAGTTAGTTGATTTAAGTCCTTAATATAAAACCCAAATGAAATATTAAGGCTAGGACCAAACACAATATTTTACAATTTGGAAGAGGGATGTCGTAATCCAAACCGCAAAATATTTGAAGGTAGGTGACGATTTACCAATTTCCACCACGAAAAACGAAAAAGAGTTTTAGGTTTTAAGTGAATTGAAATTCCTAGATCCTTTGAGATTCATTGAAACTTTCAATGGCATGTTTAAATCTCCATTGTGCCCTTCAAGTTTGTGACTGGGATGCCGAGGATCACAAACAATGTGTGAATAACCATGCAAATTAGCTTGGTACACCCAATGTTACAACCACCTAATCAATGTGCCGGTTAACCACACACGCTCCATTGATCTATGATTAACATCAAGCTACCCTTTGTCGCACATTGTCAGTCCCAGATTAGTGTGTCGATTAACCACACACGCTCCACTAACGACTTAACAAGGTGCAAAGTGCAATTTCATGGGTTAGCACCATATTCACATTTTCCTAAGTAACTAAGATTGGGAATTTATAAGTGTTTAGTTACTTTATATTTATCATTATACTTTTAATGAAGGGAGAATTAGAGTCCTATCCTACCCGTTCGGCTAACGACCCTCCACCAGTCAAGGAAGCGGTGGGTGAGAGTGAACACCCATTAAACTGCCATTTTATAGGCAGTAACCTTATCCCCCCTCCCCCCCCCCCCTTATAGACCAACTTCGTGAATGAGGCCTACTAACGGTAAGACTGACTTTACTCTTATACATATATATAAATATTAAACCTATAATATTATAATAGTATAAGGATTGAATTTTAAACTTTTAAAATTCTAGGGTTTGGAATTAAATGTTTCAAAAGTTAGACTTTTACATTTACAAATTCCAAAACTTGAGGGAAAGTTTTGTTACTTTCAAAACCTTTTGGAATACATAACTTATGAGTTTAATAAAGATTTTATGAAAAGACTCTTGACATTCCATAACTTGAGGACAAGTTATGGAGTTCATAAAAAACCATTTATGAGAAAAAGACTCTTCAAGTTCATAATCTATGACTTTAATGATTTCTTTAAAAGTAAACTTTTCATTTTCCATAACTTGAGGACAAGTTATGGAATTCATCAAAATCATTAAGATCAAAAAAATTCTAACAAGAAAATCAAACAATTTGTCTATGATCTAAATTAAACTCATAAGAACAAGACAATTCACATCAAACAAATTTCATGTAATTAGTCTAACCATATAAACTAATACAAAACATGAAACTTTGATAATTATCTTATAAATTGGATAAGCATGATCATTACCAAATCAAAAACAGGTTTATAAGATCAAAAATAGTTTAGGGTAATGATCCTAGTCCAATTCCAGCAAAAAAAACTCGAAAAACTACATTCTGGGGCACCAACTCGGCGAGTTGGATGAATTTGTGCTTGGACTCGGCGAGTCCACTATCCAGAACAGCAGAAAATCGATTTTTAAAGCATTTCCAAGCAAGTAGCATCAAGTATAATTGAAAACAAGCCTAGGCTCTGATACCACTGTTGGGTTTTGAGTATTCTAACACTCCTAAGGTGTACATGCAACCCTAAATACCTTGGGTCTATGTTTTCTCTATTATACATGCAAACTTGAACTTTCCAAGGTATTACCCTAACTAGCATACAAAACATTGATACTTGGGTAATAAAACAAGTTAGATAACATACCTTTTTTCCTTGTAGTTGGAAACCTTGGACCTTTAAGAACTTAGTGCCCCAAGTGTTGCACCTCAAATGGAATCACACAACACCACCAACAATTGGAATAACTTGAGAGAAGAATACTTGCTTCACAAATCGGCTAGCCCTCACTTCTTATCACTTAAAGGTGCCATTTCATGAACTATGAGGCTTCTTATATAGTGTGCACATTAGGGTTATACCATGTAACTCATGACTTTCCACATTCCTCATGATCCATGGGTTTTAACCTCCATGGAGTATCCATGGGTCACCACATGGGTTTAGCCCAACATGAAGAACTATGGATCATAAGCCCATTTAATAAGAATGAATGATTTACCAAATCAACCCTATTTATTTAATTAGTCTCTTTTGATCACAAAATTAATTCCAAACTAATTCTTGATCAATACTAATTAAATAATATGATTTCATATTAACATATTAGAACTTATAATATATTAATAAATCATAAATATCCTCTTCTCACAAAAGTCTATCCAAATTGTTCCGATGCCATGCAACCCAAATGGATCATGCTACTCTCGGGTCAAGTACATACCAATAATAGTTATGGGCGTAGACACCTAATCCAACAATTTTCTTCTTGCGGAAAAGCGTGCTTTTATCGATATTTTCTTCTTGCGGAAAAGTGGCCATGGGCTCGGGACTGCTCGAACTCGAGGGACAACAAAATAAATAAAAGAAAATATTTTTCTTATATTATAGAAGAAACTTCTAAGGAGAATTTATAGAGAGAGAGAGAGAGAGAGATTCATATTGAGTGTGGAAAGAATGAGCCTCGAAAATCAATTTATAGGCTGGAACATGCTTAGGCACTCCGCGCCCTTCAAATTACGTGTCGCGCCCTTCTGGCTTTGCTCCAGTGTCTTCCCGACCCGTGTTAATTTCCTGCTGGTCCGCGTTACCCCCCCCCCTTCTAGAAGGCGTGCGCACCGCACGCTGAGCGTGGGTCGAAAACATTGATTTGTGTTAATTGTGTAACTTCTTCATACGAGCTCCGATTTCGACGTTCTTTATATCCATGGGTAGCTATCGACGAGTACTACAACTTTCCTTTAGGTTGTGTTGGATAATTCTTATTTTATTTTTAGCCCTTATTTTTATATGTCTATATGATTTTGCAAAAATCGTATGTCTCTCATACAGACTCCGATTTTTGCATTCTTTTTCTCAAAACTCTTATCTCGAGGAGTACTACGATTCTTCTTTTGGTGACTTTAGCTAAATGTCAACCATTCTCTTCGTAGGTTTTGACGTTTCACATTCGTTATGATCGGTTGATTTCTATATCTTATAAAATTCATATCTAATTCATACAGAGTCGGATTTTTATGAAATTTATATTTGCGAGATTGGGAAAACATGTACTTTCAGAATATGTTATTATTTCTTCAAAATAACATAATATTATAGATTACAGACAATTTAACTGATTTTTCTATTGTATCTTAATACCAAATCCTGTATTTTTATCTTAGATTGATAAATATTACGTATTAACTCTAACATACTTGGCTCTTATCAATTTTAGCGGTTAATGATTGGTGACAACTTTTGCATTTGTTACACAAGAGTAAACCACTTTAAGATGCTAGTCTTCACTTGTATTAACTTGTTCTTAAGCCATTAAGACTTATAACAAATAATCCTTAAGGAGAACCAACTTATAAGCACTTAGTTCATGCACCAATTTGCAAGAAAGAAGAGAGGGAAAGAGATACTAGCAAATCACGAATTTTGCGGCCCTTTTTGTTAGGAAAAAGTGATGAAAAAACTGGTTGGTTTTGGTCTCTTACTCTCCTTTAAATACTAAGAGACAGGTACTAGATCACCATACTTTCCACAAGTCAAAGCATGGGTTTCTATGACATTTATGGAGTGAAGAAAGGGAAAACCAACACACTAACTCCAACTCACATGGGGAGTTGATGCTTTTGAGACAAAAGTCAAGACCAAATAGTGTGTTACACTCTTTCTTACAAACTAGCTAGTTATATTCCAACTAAATGATTACTCAAAGTGTTCATTTAATTTGTACATAACATATATATTAATACCTTATGAATTTAACTAGTTTTGTTCTCTTTTATTATCATTTCCTAGAAATAATAATTTCCCAATTAATTCTTAAAATATTATTTTCATAAAAAATTAATTTTCCAATTAAATATAAGTGTTTATTATATTTATTAATTATCAAATTACTCTAATAAATAACCAATAAGTGGTATCGTGATATAAAGTATGACCATATAGAATCATATGTCATTAGCAAATATCATTCTATAACGAATCTTAAGCATAAAGATCTTTCACTTATAAGATCGTTGGTTTACATTTCCGGTTCAACAATAGTTTTAGTACATTAGAATCAATTAATATTTAGAGTATATAAGATAAGTTGTATGATTAGACCTCGAGTAGACACATGCCATAAGTAATATCACAAAAGGAATAAATATGATACCAAACTAATCATTATTAACTTCGATCATCCGTTGTATTTTGGTTGTAACATCAAAAGATATAAAAATCAAACTTTCACAGAAACTGATCATAAGCCTAGTTCATGATGCATCACATTTAGATTTCACTTGAGTGAGTTTTCAAAGCAAGCCACTTCTTTGCTAGAGCCATAGCTTCTTTTGGCTTATATTGAGCCACTGAATGACCTGCACCCTACAATTATATGAATGAAAGAACTTACAAACATGCGTGAGAGAGAATAGTTACTTGATTATGAAAATAAAATACAAAAAGTAAGAATCAAGCATGCAAAATCATAATGATCACTAATAGCTTATAACATCTTTAAAATATTGATGATGAAAATCATGTGTATCTTACTTTAACTGTAGCAAATGTCAAGGAGAATTCATTTTGTGCATATGTTACTTCATATCTGTAATAAAAAGGAAAACTATAATAAAGTCTTTACATATAGGCCTCATAATCGATTTAGTCACTATATATTTTTTTTATTCATATAAGTCCCAAATACCGGTAATCGTATTCAATTTAACCCTTTGACCCGGTCAACAGGTCATCCAACTTTCAAAAATTACATTTTTGGCCCAGATTTCAAATTTTATTACAAATTCAGTCCAAAATTTACACTTTTGGCCCATATTTTAAATTTTGTTACAAATTTGGTCCAAACTTTACCCTTTTTGCCCAAATTTTAGAATTTTATTATGAATTCATCCTAAATTTAGTTTTTTTTACAACTATTTTTCTCAAATAATTGTTTTTAATATGTTTTTTCTTTATAAAATCATATTTATACAAAAAAAAAAACGTATTTTCACATAAAAATCTTATATTTCTATATAAAAAGTTTTTTGTATATGAAATATCTAGTTATAAAAATAGGTATTTACTAAGTATATAAATATATAAAAATCCATTTTTATAAAAAAAATGTATACAAAAACGTATTTTACAAAAAAAATGTATACAAACACATATTATATAAAAACGGATTTGTATACATTTTTTTTTTGTAAAATACGTTTTTGTATACATTTTTTTATAAAAACGGATCTGTATAAAATCATATTTATACAAAAAAACGTATTTTCACATAAAAATCTTATATTTTCTATATAAAAAGTTTTTTGTATATGAAATATCTAGTTATAAAAATAGGTATTTATTAAGTATATAAATATATACAAATCCGTTTTGATAAAAAATATATATATAAAAACGTATTTTACAAAAAAAATATATACAAACACGTATTATATAAAAACGGATTTGTATACATTTTTTTTTTGTAAAATACGGTTTTGTATACATTTTTTATAAAAACGGATTTGTATATATTTATATACTTAATAAATACATATTTTTATAACTAGATATTTCATATAAAAAAAGTTTTTAAAAAACGTTTTTATAGAGAAATATAAGATTTTTATGTGAAAATATGTTTTTTTTTATAAATATGATTTTATAAAGAAAAAACATATTAGAAACAATTTTTTGAGAAAGAAATTTGTAAAAAATCTAAAGTTAGGATGAATTCATAATAAAATTCTAAAATTTGGGCAAAAAGGGTAAAGTTTGGACCAAATTTGTAACAAAATTTAAAATCTGGGCCAAAAGTGTAAATTATGGACCGAATTTGTAATAAAATTTGAAATCTGGGCCAAAAATGTAATTTTTGAAAGTTGGATGACCTGTTGATCTGGTTAAATGGTTAAATTGAATACGATTACCGGTATTTGAGACTTAATTGAATAAAAAAAATATATAGGGACTAAATCGATTATGAGGCCAATATGTATGGACTTTATTGCAGTTTTCCCTAATAAAAACCATGAGACTAGTGAACATATAATTGACACATATTATTAGAAAGTAAATGAAGTTGATTCTCACCCTCCGACTTGATTGCTCACATAGAATGGCTTCCATCGGCTCTCGATCTCAAGATTAAGTGCAACTATCCATTGCTCAATTCCAACATATGGAAATGTCATATCATGATCACCACTATTAACAAAATGCCACAAATTATTATGTATAATCTTCAACAACGGTGTAGTTAGGGGCCAAAAATAAGAAAATTGTTACGTTACCTAAAAATCAAAGCTCTACAATTTTTACTAACAAGTTTCTTATGGTATGAAAAACTACTAAAGATATCATAAGCATAGCAAAATGTGTCATTTTTTCCTTCAACGTAATGCATCGTCCTATTAAAGAACTCCCATTTCCCAATTGTTCCCTGAATATAAATTGTTAGACCAGAACTGAATGATAAATGTATAATTCCTAACTCATAAATCTACCACACCTGGCGAACGTTAAAAGCTTGTTGCACAACCTTATTATTTATCCAATCTTCTGCAAAATCGTAATAGTACTCCTAAAAGAGCAAAAGGGACACACATGTCATTAGTTTTATGAACCATATTCCAGTTACTTAAGATCTACAATGGAAGTAAAATAAAGTTTTGCATGGTTAACGGATATATATATATATATATATATATATCTTATATATATATATTATATATATATATATATATATATATATATATATATATATATATAGAGAGAGAGAGAGAGAGAGAGAGAGAGAGAGAGAGAGATTACTCGACAATATGGCTTCACATCTGATTTATTACAAAGCGGCTCCAAGATATCTTCCATATTTAGTCCACTTGTGCACTGAAATTCATAAATTTAGATGACTACATGTTTTATGAAGCCAGGGTGAATCAACTTAATAGACATACCTCCGTGTATCTTTGAAGACAGTTAATGCATAGTGAATTGGTAGAATTCACGTAATTACCACGACAATTTTCTATTGCAGCCTGAAAATTAGATAATTATTATTATTATTAAGTATGAAAGTACCAACTTAATGATAATTCTTGAAAATATTTAAAACTTGCCTTATAAATATCATCAGATATAAGTGCCATTCGATGAGCATATTCAACTCTAGAATTAAAATCCATGAACTTATCAGTGAGGGGACTGCAAAGAATGTACCCCTATTTACCAATTGAAGAAATTAAGATTTGTTTTATAACTTCATATTAAATAAAAGGTGGAGCTTTAAAGTTCAAGGAATTAGATACTTAACTTGAATATTCAATGTAGGTTGATCACCGCGTTCATTAGCTGCAAACAATAATCTTTTAATTAATGATCGCAATCTATTTTATGCATGATGAGATAAAGAAAAACGATATATCAACAAAGAAAATCATTTACCTTTGTACACTTCCAAAGTAACAATAGGTGTGACAATTCCCATGTAAGAAATGCCCGTTATGTATAGTGGATTTTTTAAAAACTTAGGATGGTCGATAAGAAACTGTGTACATCACCCCAAAACATATGAGATTTATAAGTTTAATATTGATTTGAAATTTAGAAAAGGAGAAAAGAAGTTTATTAATTAGACCTTTCGAATAAAATCGTTAGCTTGTTTGGCCACAATGTTATCACTGCTAATCGATGCTTCTTTTGTTGTGGCATATGAGAATCCGGTACCAGGAGGCATATCAACGAATATGATATTAGCCATCTACATCAATATAATCAACCATATTATTAAATCTTAGCCAGTATACATAACATAATTCTTTTTTCGGATTCATATTTAGTAATGTGATGTCAATGGGGGTGAAAACATTAACCTTTGTCCACGAGTTTGGATTTAATGTGATTGTGATGTTTTCAGGTGCATTGTCAAAGTTGAAACTAAGTGGACCTATAAAACAGTAATTCATCAGAAGGTGTTTTGCAATTTCACAAAACATACAAACAAATCTTATATTTTCTTGTTTTAGAGGGTTATATGTAAAACACATTTACTTTAATTTCTAACATATTTAGCAAAGTTTAAAACCACTAAAAATGTGTGCAACAAACCTATACGTACTGAAAAATTAGATAATTTTCAAGCTTCTATAATTTGAATTATAACCATTACAATGATCATTAATATAATACTCGTATCATTACAACAAAAAAAATAATGACCAAAATTTCAAAACAATTGAATAATTCTAATTTAAAAGTTAAAGATCCATTATTAGTAAATGACTCCCGGCCTCGCCAAAGCTCTCTCAACTAGACTCAAAAGGGTCACCGGATCGGTGATAGATAACATCCAAACGACTTTCATTGAAGGGAGGAACATCCTTGATGGACCGGTTATTATAAATGAAGTGTGTTCATGGGCAAAGAAAGTTAAGAAAAAAAATATGTTTTTATTCAAGGTAGATTTTAACAAAGCCTTTAATTCTATAAATTGGAGTTACCTCGATTCAGTTATGTCAGTTATGTCTCAGATGAACTTTGGTGATAAATGAAGATCATGGATCATGGGGGTGTCTCTCTTCTTCTCGAGCCTCAGTCTTAATTAACTACTCTTCAACCAAATAATTTATCATCACAAAAGGTGTCCGCCAAGGTGATCCACTTTCGCCATTTTTGTTTATCATTTCAATGGAAGGACTTAATGTAGCAATGAACCGCTTGCGAGAAATCATTATTCCATGGTATCAATATTCCTAATAAGGGGTTGCATACCTCACATATATCTTTATTCCGATGATGTAATATTTGTGAGTGAGTGGTCTGAAAGCAACCTAAAAGAATATGGCACACATCCATAAATGTTTTCATATCTCATCTGGTTTGAAAGTAAATTTTCACAAATCTATGCTGTACAAAATTGGGATCCCCGGTCGTGAGCTTAATAGGAATGCTAGATTTATTGGGTTTGATTCGGGCAGCTTCCCTTTCAAGTTTTGGGGGTACCAATTGGGGAAAACATGACTCAAGAAAAAAAGGAGCCCCATTTTAGATCATATGAAGGCTATACTCTACAATTGGAAAGCTTAAACACTATTATTCGGTGGTACACTCACTTTGGTGAAAGTTTTTCTAGGTAGCCAGCCTACCTTTATATTACTTCTCGATTTTTAAAGCCATCATCTGTATGATTGATGCTCTTGAGAAAATACGTAGACGATTTTTATGGGATGGAAGCGAAGACAGGCCTAAGATTAATTGGGTGGATTGTCCCAAAGTTTTAGCTTCAAAAGTGTAAATCGGCTTGCATTTTGGAAATAATTAATGATGCTGGTTTTTTTTGGTGACTAGAAATGGGTCCCCAGTAGCTTGGTGGAACTAGCGGAACTAAGCTACCTGACATCTATGGTCAATGGCTTTTCCCTTGACTATCGTAAAGACTACTAAACTTTGTTTCACTCCTCAGACGACATGTACAAGGTGAACATTCTTAGGAAGTTGGTCGACTCTAAGATCTCTACACCATCTGCTAATGTGGTTGTATGGATCAAAATTGCACCTTTAAAGGTCATAAGTTTCGTGTGGAGGGATTGCATGGGCCGCCCCTACAACCTCTACTTTAAGTCATAGAGGTGTTAACATATACTCCATGAAATGTGCTCTCTGTAATACTGAAGTGGAATCACGATCATTTATTAATTGGGTGTCAATTTGCTCTTAAGGTCTTCTTCTGGATCTTTAAGTGGTGCGGTAATCCTACCCAAAGATTTTCAAAGGTGGAATATTTTATTAACTATGCAGCAAAATAGGGACATTGTAGAAAGAAAAAAAGTATTCCTTGCTTATAGCATATGGGGTTCTTTGGAGTATATGGAATGCGAAAAATGAGAGGGTGTTCAAAAAAATTATCCCCTCCCATGCGAGAACGACAAGTTACGTGATCTCACTATTATTCGGGTGGATTAAATATATGGTTAATTTAGTAAATTATAATTGGACTGACTGGAGCTGCTTCCCATTCCCCTCTTTGTAATCTCTTTTAGTATGCACTTCCTTGCTTCTTGCTAGGTTGCAATTTTAATAAAATATTGTCATTTACAAAAAAAAAATAATAATAAATAAAACAAGCTTAGCAACTTTAAATTCTAAGTTTAATAACAAATAGAACAATAAAATATAAAATCTTGTAAAATTGATATTAAACAGTAAGCGGCAGATGATGAAATATAGGATATATATTTATTATTATATTTTGAACATTTTTATTCTTTTTTGTTTCTCTCTCTCTCTCTCTCTATATATATATATATATATATATATATATATATATATATATATATATATATATAGGGTTAGGTTATTTTGTTTCTTATATTTATTGTGTGCTAGAATGCACCAATAGGAATTTAGTAAATTAAACAAGTATTTAATTAAATAAATATAGATATTAAATGATTTCCATAATTATATGTATATTAAATGATATCCATAATTATAATTCTCTTTTTATGGAAACTAATTAAATCCGTCATTAATGTCAGCAATAAATTTCTTTCAGAATGAATTCTCATCTAGGTTTTTATATATGAGTTCGTATTTTGTTTCAGGACTCACTCACTTAAAATACAATAAAGTTGCATGGAATATGAAGAACGAGAGTGTATTTTACTAGAATACACTCTTATTCTGCTGGAATACACTCTCATTCTTCTAGATATGAATTCATTCCGAAATAATATTATTGTTGACATTAATGACGAATTTAATTGGTTTCCATAAAAATGAGTTATAAGTATGGATATCATTTAATATACATATAATTAATACTAAAATCCTATTGGTGCATTCTAGCACACAATAGATGTGAGAAACATTTGAACCTACCTATATATATATATATATATATATATATATATATATATATATATATATATATATATAACCTCAACATACTATGTCGTTTTGTATCATATTTTCATCGTAATCGTCGAAGGTTCTTAAACTTCAAACCTAACTTGATTTAGTTCCAATATTTTTGGACATTCACCATTATCTTCCTCTAAAATCATTTTCATTTGCAAAGGTAATATATGTAGCCCTCCAGAAGGTGTTCGATAGAAATACGTGATATTGGAGGAAGATAATGGTGAAGTTCGAAAACTTGAATGTAAATCATGTTAGAGGTTAAAGTTTAAGAATTTTGGATGATTATAATGAAAATATGATACAAAACGACCGTACTATGTGGTGGTTAGATACCTAAGTTTATATAAGGTTTTTATGTATATTCACTTTTCGATATATATATATATATATATATATATATATATATATATATATCATGGGCGGCTCAACCAATTTTGGGGCTCTAAGCAAACAAAAAAATTGGGGCCCTTCAAGTAAGGAAATAGTTTCGAACTTGAGACGTTTAGTTTAATAAACCAACGTTTTTACCACCAGGCCAAACTCCGATTTGTCTTTGCAACCCTAGAAATACGTGTGTGTATATATATATATATATATATATATATATATATATATATATATATATATATTAATTAACAGAATAAGTTTTAAAATTTGGGACCTTTTATAATTAGGGGCCTAAGACCTTGTTTAGTTTTGTAAAGGGTAGAGTCGGCTGTGATTATAATATATATATAATATATATATATATATATATATATATATATATATATTTGTTTCCTGGTTCAAAAAAAAATAACAGAAAAGTTGTGGACTTTATGCTTTCGTAATTATTCCGGGCATATATAATCATTCTTTAAAGTGGATTATTGTAACATCTTTCATTTGGACCAAAAATCTTTTGCCCATTTTGATAAAACATTTTTTTAATTATGAGTAAATAAATAATTAAATAAATAAGGAATTGTGATTTTTTAAATACTCCGTAACTATTAAGGAAAATGAAGAAGATTTTTAATTAAAAAAGTGTATATAACTTTGAATAAAATTTAAGAGTGGGGACTAAAAGTAACAAATAGCCAAACTTGCCGTATCAAGTTTTAGACTTGGTCAATGGACTAAAATTGAAAGAATATTAATTTTAAGTGACTTTAGTCATGGTTATGGAAGTTAAAACGAAGGCTATATAAGTTAGTGGTCAAAATGAATAAATAAGATCTAGCAGGGTTTAAGTTGCCATTTGCCAATACCCCGAAGTTGAGATAGAGGCTTCTTGTGCTCCCCGGTATGCTTAGAACGATCGAAAAAATGGGGAAAAACTTATCTGGCGATTTTGAGAATTTGTGAAGATCAATGATAAAATTTTTTGGAGAATTTTTTAATTTTAAGTTGTCAATACCCCAAAGTTGAGGTTGGATTCCGCATAGCCGTGTAAGGATGGCAATTAAGTCGAGTTTGAGTTGACGGGTCAGAATACATTAACCAAATTCATATTTAGATCTAGGTTGGTAGCTTGGGACGTGTTTGCAGGTCAGAAATATCAACCAAACTCAACTCATATAATTCGTTTAATTATATAGGTGCGCAGGTTCACATGTAGGTTTCATCGACGGTGGTGGTTTATGGATAGAACGACAAGCAGTGTTGGGCTGGTATCTGTGGTCTTTTTGAGTAATAAGGAGTCAATGATTGAGTAGGACACATCACACTCATAAGTCATAATTCATAAATAAATATTATATATATATATATATATATATATATATATATTAACGGGTTAGCGGATTGACCCACGTACCTAAAAATATAACCCAACCCGACCTATGAAATAAACGGTTTGGTGGTTGGCGGGTCAAAAAACTCAACCTAAACCATTTATTTTCGTGTCGAATTACGGGTTTGGCCGATAATTACCACCTTTATAGCCCGATAGTTGTGCAGACGATACGGTCTATCGATTTATGAAAAACTTTTTAATTTTACACTCCACACTATTTATAATAAATGCTCACTCTAGTCTAAATTTAGACTATGAAAACTATAAAACTAGTCTCGAATAAAGTGCCAGCCAGTCAAATTTCTCCTCGCGCCTCCACTTTTCACAATTTCCATCCAGAGCCTTTTTCATTTTATTAAAGTTATTCATTTTTTTTTTGTTTCATCTTTTCCCAAAAACTTATTTGTCACGGACAATTTTTTTTTTTACAACTGAATTTGAAAAGGTATCTTACTGTTTAGTTTTATTTAGGTTGAATATTGATTTTTTGAAACTTGATTTTTTTTATTTGGAATAACGAAACTATTTTTTTTATTTTAATAAAGTGTAATATATATTTTTTTATAAATGTGATTTGTTTAGTTTTGTTAATTTATATAAAAATATATCGTATTATAATAGTATAAGATAAATTTCATAAATAATTTTGCTTTTCTTTTTTCTTTTTGGATTTTCCTTTTATTGGGTTTTCCTTTTAGCTTAGCCACCGTTTCTTTTCATATAAAACTTTGATTATTATAAAATTTATTATAGATTGAGGTTGGAGTTTAGTAGCATCATTGTTTTGATATTAATTACATATTTTAGGTTTAGCGACAAGTTTATCAATTTAAAAGAATAACATTTTAATACGTTTATTTTTTTCATACAATTATATTTACTCTTTAAAATTTATCTTTTAAGTTAATTAAGTTAAATGAAGGATTTTTATAATAATATTAAAGAATATAAAAAATGTTACATTTTCTATTCTTTCAACTTAATAGTTAATGAATCTTTATTTTATATATATATATATATATATATATATATATATATATATATATATATAATAAAAAAGAGAGAATTAGAGAAAATAAAAATAAAAAGTATATTTCTTTCGGAAAACAATGTAATAAAATCTTTAATTATTAAAAATGATTAGTTGAGAGTAATGATGTCTAACATAAAACATATTAGAGTAGAATGGAGTGAGTATGATGAAGTGTCTATAACAACACCCTTTATGAAAGAACAATGCGGCAAAACAATCATATCTATAAGACGCATAAACTTTATCCTTTGCTAGCTCTGGAACAACAATAATGAATTTGCCATTCATTTGTTTTTGGAATGCTCCACGGCTCGAAGAGATTTGTAATATACTGAGGTGTGGAGTCAAAATTTTAGAATATGGGGCTAAAATCATAAAAAAAAATATGAAAATATATTCTTATCTAAATAACATTGGTATGTAAAGTTAAAATTAAAATACCAGCTCTTCGATATTACTATTTAATTTAAGTTGTGGATGTTTATAATAACTTATTATGCATATTTTTCCAAATATTATCACTAATTAGATGCAATCATGAACATCATTTCGTTTGAAAAAAATCGATAATTTTTTTGGCTTATGATTTGCTTTACATTTATAAGAAGTCAAATTATGTTTAATAATATTATTAATTGTAAATTACAAAATATTTAGAATATATAATAAATTAATAAATTACCATGGCTCGAAGGCTTTGAGTGGAGAAGCATCAATATGTCTCCAAATTAATTATCAAGGATTGGGATTACAGGTAAATAATATACTACATTGTTTGTGCAGTTAAATATAGACAATTAAATAGATAGAGGGGCTATGGGCTTAATTATTTATCTGGTATGAGCTTTTTTAGTAAATTTCAAATAGAATTATAATTAGAATGCTATCTTTAATTGGATGAGTTGGCTAGTTGAGGGTGACGCAACATGTGGCTGCCCCCGCCACTGGATTTAGTCAATAATTGGTGGAGTGATATCCCAACTTCTGGACTGCTCGAGGTTAAATTCAAAATCTGTTTTTTACGTGCACTATGAAGACTAGAATCATAGAGGTACTCTCTATGATGCTCATGACTTTTGCTTAAGTTCCACGGAATTACATAAACAATAACATTTTCGATGGGGGTGGTGAGATATAGTGCTGATTTGGCTAGTGAAGTCAAAAGATATTGTAATCTCTAGCTACGCGCTACCGTTTTAATAAAATTGTTGTTTAGTTCAAAAGAAAAATATATATGAATGATTGTTTAATCAAGCCTAAAAGATAGTAAATGTCATTTACGATTTATATTGTTTTTGATTTGACAATTGCATCAATTTTCTTACAAATAGAATATATGGTATAGAAGGTTGGGTACGTAAATGATACTATAGTGTATGTTCCGTCCTTTTGGGAATTACGTATATATATGTATGATTAGTGTATTCTTCGGACTTACGCTATCGGCCAAACGTCAACACATTCTAATGACCATCGATGTCATATGGAACCTGGAAGGGCCCCACTCTTCTACTTGAATAAGTTATATCGTATCAGTAACTAATTATTCTATAATTGTAATGATTTTGTACTTTTATAGTGATTTTAATTAGACAAGTCAAAATAAAATTCTTATTTCAACTTAACGTAAAAAGAAAGTTGTAATTGACAAATAGAACTTAAAGTGTATCTATAGACTATAATGGTATGAACCTGTAAATTAGTTTCTATCAATTAATATAGATAAACCAAATTTTGTTAAACCTATTTTTCTTGCTAAACTTTTTTAAAGTTAGCAAACATATTGTTCCATTTGACTACTTCAATATAACTCGATCACAATAAAATGATGAAAATTAAAACTTAAAAATAATCATGATTTACATTAAATAAAAGCAACACGGATTAAGAATTATATCATACAAAAATTATTCAAAAATCACTTCAATTAAATCAAAACTATGGAAATTAACATAATAACAAATAATATATAATACTTTGCATAGAAAAAAACCATACAGGCATAAACCCAAGTACCCAACCGATCCATTTTACTACCTTAATTAAAATATTATAAACCTTGATCATATAATATTTACCATATGTACTTTCTGCTGTAATAACAAGCAGAAAGGATAAATTATGGGATCCGGCGACTGTCCGACTGCCTTTGTAAAAAGTGACAGAGTTCAGCGGATTCTTTTGCAATTTACCGTTGCTAATATAATTTTTTTAGTTAAACCGTTAAGTAAACATCAAACTATGCATGCATGCATATGGTCTCTTCATTAAGATAAATTAATTAAACAACATGCATGCATGATGATGAACTATATGCTTCATTGTTAAGGGCTAAAAAAAACGAAGAGATAGATCATATATACCGATTTGATAGAAGAAAGTAATGATGGCAGAACAGCCAGGACCTCCGGTGAGATAAAATAAGAGCGGGTCTTCTTCTGGATTTCGTTCCGATTCAACAAAGTAGTAGAAAAGCTGTGCTTCTTCCTTCTCCCCTATTCCCACATACCTTGATCAATACAACAAGGTTTTATTAGAACTAGATCGTATGTTTTCATCTCTAATGCACCATTTTTTCCATAATAACTTATGTTACAGATAAGGAATGTAAATGGATGATTTTCTAGTTGATTAATTTACAACAAGTTTTTTTCGTAAATAAGTGATGAGAATATGATACCCTGTTTCGAGCTTGAATGGAAGTTGACCCGGATAACCAGGAAGGGTTTGGACGATCGATTTTGAATGGGATGGAGTTATGAAGCTCGATTCAAGTGTTAGAAGAAGGAGCAGGAGCGAGGAAAGGGCAAGGGACTTTGATCCGTACTCCATTTTGAGGTGGCACTTGGAAGTTTGGGTGATCCCGCAATAAGTGGGTTGGCTGCTATAAATAGAAGTCTTCCACCATGGTTCCTTTGAAAATATGAAAACCTTTTAGAGTAAATTACCAGATCATCCCTGTGGTTTGGATTGGAGTAGTTTATATATTTAGTATATAACTTTTTTCTTTTAACTCAAAAGATCCATATAGTTTGGTTTTGTCTTGTAATTGGTCCGAAGTGTAAAATGACTATTTACCTTAATGTTATTTTTTAATAATTAAATTATTATCCAACTACACATAGACTATTGATAATTTAAAAAAAACATTACATTAATTTTTTTTTAAAATATTATATTAATTAAAAAACATGAATTTAACAAAAATACCAAAAAAAACATTAAAATTTGAACCAAAAGAGGGTTGTGAAGTCCCTTCGTTTAGCTCTTTCAATTTTGAAGCATTCTTCAATTTTTGCCATTGTTTGAGATATGGAAAAGGTTTGTGGGTTGCCGTTGTTTTTTTCATATTGATCAATGGTAGGTTTAAAGACATCGAAATCACATGACCCGCTTTTATGTAGGTTGTTAAGGTTGTTGTAAATTCCGTTGAATTCGGTGCATTTTAGCCTAAAATCGCATCACTTCAAACTAATTTGGTTGAGAATTCGACCTTCACTTCATAGAACATGTTTCAAGCTTTTTCCCAAAAACAATTATAAGTTTGACTCTCTCCTTCTATTGGATCTTGGGAAGCCGATACCCACGCTTGTACTTCTCTTCTTCCTCTTTTGTCTATTGCACCCTATTGGTTGGATTGGTTCAAACGAGTTTTTTTCCTTTTTTTTGTGGTTAGGGTGGTGTTGAAGGTTGTGTTTCCGCTACAAAATCCGGTGAATTAGGGGTTGTGAGGTTGTGGTTGGAAAGGTTGTTGGTATACGAAAGCGGATTGAAATTGTTATTGATAGGGCAGGAAAGTCTGATATTGTTGCTGAAAAAGTTGAGTTTGTTGAATAGAGGAACCACTTTGGAGAAAATTCATAAAACCACTTTGAGGTGATTCAATGTTCGGGTATTGGCATTGAATTGTATATAACGCAAAAACATTATCGGGCTTGCGGTTTCGATAGTTTGGTGGGGTATTTTGATTGTGATCCATGATATTTGGATTGTAAACAAAGTTGTGTAGATAAATAGAGAAAAAGAAGAATAGTGTAAAAAAATTAGTTTGTGTATTGTGGTATTTATATAGGTAAATGTTTGTTTTAAAAAATAAATTATATTTTTTCAAAAATTGCCGTTCAACGGCTAGTCAAAGTGGTATCTAAACAAATTGCATTGATTGGGCGTTATCGATCGTTGAACGGACTACAAATCACCAAGACCATGGGCCACCATGGACATCCACCCGGGCTGGTGTTCTTGATCGTGGTTTGTGGTGTGACAACCCGGAACTGCCACCTTGTATACCTAGTCAACTCAACCAATGTTAAACCCGTATCCGTTGTCTTCTAACACTGTTTAAGGGTTCATTTAAGCGTTTTAAGTTTGGGTACAGTCAAGGTTGAGGTTAGGAATGAGTCAACAAGTCGTATAGTGTCAAAACCGGACCATGCACCCCTTTTGGAGGAGTGTGCGGCCGCACACATGGGTGTACGGCTGTACACACCCCTCATGGCCACACACCCACCCCTATATAAAGGGTAGACCCCTTTCCTTTCATTCCTTTAACACCTTGGTAGCACACAACACCATTTCTCTCAAGCGTCTTCAACCACAAACCCTCCCAAGGCTTCAAAAACGTGAGTAATCCATCCCTTAGCTTGTTATGCTTGAAGAACCACTTAATCTAAGCCTTGAATCATTGAGTCCCGTCGTGTTCTTCATCTCTTTGAAGGAGTGCGGCCGCACACCCACATAAGGTGGCCTCACACTCCTAAAAGACCCTCCAAAGTGAGAGTTGGACTTCCATATTCGAGTTGGACATGAACTTAGCTTTGCTACACCCTAGAATTGGCATTTTGGACATCATCATGTAGGGTGTACGACCGCACACACCTGTGTAAGGCCACACACACCCTTGTGCGGTAGCACACTCCTTGTGTGCGGCAGCACACTCCCGTGTGCGACCACACACACACCCTAGGACCACAAACCCATTTCTTAGACCCTAAACTTGTACTACAACTAAGTATGGACCTAGAACACTTCATGGATGCAAGTATGGACCTTGAAAACACCTCGAAGGCACCTTCCATCATGAGTGTACAGCCGCACACCCCTTGGGCCGCACACCCATGGCCGCACACACCTTTAAGGTGGCCATACACCTCCCTCATGCAATCCTTTAAGGTCCTAACACTTAGTGCAAGTAGTTCCAAGTCCCTAGAGTGGTTCTCCATCACATCTAATGGTGAAATACCTTCATTTGACTCCTTTATGTGTCATTACGTGTTAATTAGGATCAAATCGTGTTCAAGGCTTCACTTGAACATCCAGCTTTCCGTATTGATCCTTCAATCAAACCACTTACCCGAGGTGAGTTCATACCCCTACGTTTTTTCGAGTTTTCATGTTTTCAGGGGGTGGATACAAGCAAAAGTACAAGGAAACTTGTGCTCAAAATATATTATTTTGTTTAAGATAATTATATTTTCAGTATGCTTTTAACATGGAAAACAGTTTTTACTAAACGATTAAGAAATCAACTCGTAGAAACAGTTTTCAAAACTAGGGTGACGAACTTGTGAATCATGTAGTAAAATGTATTATTTTATAAAGGATTCATGCAAATCATAAAAAGGATTTTCAGTATTATTACTTGTAAATTTGTTAGTCTAAGTTGGAGACACGTCCTTGGTAACACTCCCACAGAATCAGAGTGTAGGACTAGTACTTGTGACCAGAATCTCTTGTAGGGAGAGCGTGACTGTTGTATATAGATCTATACGGGACTGACAATCCCGCACCTTGCTGCTAGCTACAGTCGGACCGACAGGTCTACGTGTGACAAAGTCATAAAGGATACCGGCCCCGTTACGGGCCATATCCAGTCAGTTATGGTCATGAAACTCACAATGTAGATAGCAGAGATTTACTTTTGTAATAATAAATCAAGTGAACTAACCTCAAAGTAATAACCGATCTGATTACTGGAGGGTATTAACAGTACCTTCAGGATTTAGTTCATCACTGGGAGTAACCAGGGTTTTTAAATGAAAACTATGTTTATCAATATAAGTATGGTAGATACTTGGACACCTCAGTTTAGAGCGGATAATCAATGATCAACTTTTAGGGAAAATATAGGATTTTCCCCGGATAACTCGGCTTTTCATAAACGGATTGTTTAACATGTAACTAACGGACATTCATATTCATTCCACGACTCCTTGGATTGTACATACCTTGTATGAATCTGGAATTCATGGAAGGAATGGGTTTTCAAACACGCTTTTCATAAGAAAATATAGGATTTTCTTGAGGAACACTTTTCAAAAGGATCAAAGAAACATTTTCCACCAAAACTAAATGCTTATGAACTCACAAGCTTTATGCTGATATTCTTTCAAAACTGCTTGTATTCTCAGGGTTTTAGTAGACAGGTACTTCCAGGATTTTGGAGAAGTCGGCACGTTAGAGTCACGTCTTTCCATTTTACTTTTGATAAGAACAAAAATTTGTATTAAGACAATGTAAACCTTTTTCATATATGTATTCAATGTTTGGTTGTGTTTACTATGCTTGCTATGATACAACTGTTGTGATACTACGCATAACGTCAACCACCCCCGAACGTTTCCGCCGTTTCAGTTTGGGGGTGTGACAGATTGGTATCTGTCACACCCCAAAACCAGAATGGCGGAAACGTTCTGAGGTGGAGGACGTCATGTATAACATCACAACCAATGTATAATAGCAATCATAGCAACACAACCATCACAGTGATTACATATATGAAAATGTTTACATCAGTTTGGAACTATGTCTGGAACTTGTTTGAATTACATCAATTTGTATGTAAAATATAAACATGCATAAAACTCTTATTGCTCCAGCTTCTCAAAAATCCAGCAAGTACCTGCCTACTGATTTCCTGAGAATACAAGCAGTTTTGAAATATCAGCATAAAGTTGGTGAGTTCATAAGCGGTTGTTTGTAATGAAAACTTGTTGATGAGTTCGTAAAGGTGTTCGTATAGTTTCAAGAAAAGCCGATATTTTCTTTAGTGAAAATGTAGTGTTTTCAATTCTATATAAAACCATGAATAACTGTATGTTTCCAAGGAAATCCGATATTTTCTTTAGTGAAAATGTAGTGTTTTCAAACCTGCATAGAACCATGAATGTTCATTGCTGAAATCTATAGTGAAATGCAAAAATAATACTTCATGTGACTAGCTAATGCTAATCATGATGTATAAGTATTTTCGTGCGTGAAACCGTTGTATGAGCGTTTCGTTTTGAGAACTCGGGGAGTTCTCCAATTGTAGTGTGTATTAGTTCTAATTAGTAAAATAGAACCATTGAAGAATGACCGATTGTAAACTAAGAGTGATTTATACATATTGTGAGTCGTATAACCATACTTGATATGACTAGAGACCTTTCCAACGTTCTTCAGGCGTCGAGTTAAATGACATTTGTACACCACAGGCGTGCCCGCCTAACTGTAGCTAGCAGTTCGGGTGCGGGATTGTCAGTCCCGAATAGATCTATTCACAAATCTCACGCTCTCCCTCCAAGAGACTCTAGTTATACTATGATAGGATTTATCCATGTACACCTAAGGGTACAGTAGTGAAGTAGCGCCTCACAGTATCGTACAATCTAGTTTACATGTAGTGTAGTAGCGTTTTACCATAGTGAAAATCCGTATGTATACCGAATGTAGTGATAATTACAGTTATGAATACCATAAAGTAGTGATGTAAACTGTAAACTATTTCTGTCTTAGTGCATATGTTTAGTAGTGAAGGTTTCTGTACTTGTTATGTTTAGAAAATGCCAAACTATACCGATTATATTTTGCATGTA